AGGAAGCATTACTGAATGAGGAATAACCAAAATTAAGGTTGGAAATGAAATGGTAATCATTATAACATCAACAAAATACAATACTCGCCAGCGGCATGAAGTAGGTAAACCACTACTAGTGATGGACTACTTAGACAGCATATTAACCCCACTTACAATACTATCCAACATATTTATGAAGATTGGGACATACCCATTAGTGTTCGTATGTATGGTATATAACACTTTCCATGCTAAAAATTGATATTAAAGTTTGGTTAATATATTTATTAACCAATAAAATTTCTGTATTTAATAAATCTAACTTTTAACTTCCTGTAATCCATTTTTTCCTATAAATAACATAACATAAATTAATAGTCTTCAGTATAACTTCAACAGGGATATAAATGATACTGATTACTCAAAATTTTGTCTACTCAAATAATTATCAAGTAATAAAGTTCTGTCTTTTAAATTATTTCTTGTTAAGTATTTTCATGAAGCAGTTTGCACGGTTTACATTACAAAAATACCCAAGGAACACATAAAGAAAGCATAGTAATAAAAGCAATAGTTGCACTGATATTAATTGGCTTACAACCTGCCTGCTTCTAATTTTATGCTATGCACAATGTTCAATAATAAAATTATTTAAGTTTGTAGTACAATCTTTGAAGATTAGTTCTTTTCTTCGCTTTTTACACAATTTTACCTCTACTATATATATTTCAACTATTTTTCAGGTGTATCAGTCTTCTTATTTTCATTTATCTCTGCCATTGCTTTGGTGAAGGCTTCCCGAATTCTCCATCGAGACATGTTGCAGTGTATCCTGAGAACTCCCATGTCATTTTTTGACACAAACCCAACTGGAAGGATTCTGAATCGTTTTTCAAAGGACATTGAGGTCATCGACTACACTCTGCCTGTCATATTCCGTGCAGCCATTGTGAATATATTTTTAATCCTTAGCAGTGTTCTCGTTATTAGTATCAACACACCAATATTTTTGGCGGCTGTATTTCCATTTGCCATTTTATATATTTTCATTCAGGTAAATTATCTTTAATTTTTCTTTAATTTTTTTTCATAAACTCACTTCAAAACATAAGTAATCATGGCTCTCCACATCTTTCCTTTTCTTTTAAATATTTATAATATCTATTATTTATACAAGTTTGGTTAAGGACCAATGAAATTTCTTTGTTCATGATTTTCTTTGCTTATTTTTTGTATATGTCACACTATTTCCTTGGTTTCCAGTGAAAGTTTAAATTATCATGAGGTTGTTTATTCACATTTTCCCTCTGACTCTCCAAAATGTTATCTGAGTGTTATATTCTCCAAACCTCTCTTCCTTGTTATATATACCACAAATTTTAAATCTTTTTGATTTTAATTATGTGTCCATTTAGTCCCCATATTCCTTAAAGCTTCATCATTGCTCACATGTTCAATCCATGGTATTCTCAGCATCCTTCTGTAGAATCGCATTTCTGTTACCTCAAGTTTCCTATTCATCTGTTAAAAAATTGGCTAGTATTCACAATCATATATGAAAATAAATATTAAATTGCAGTTCTGCACTCTTTTCTTTGTTTCTAACAAAATTATCTATTTCATGTAATTATTTCTAATTCTATTTTTTGTTTGTTTATAGCGGTACTATATACCAATTTCAAGACAGCTGAGACGAATTTCTTCCATTTCAACCTCACATATTTACAGGCATTTTAATGAAACACTGTCTGGAGTAACATGTATTCGTGCCTTCAATATGATGTCTGAGTTCTATGCTGAACTTCTTAAAAGGGTAGACAAAACCCAAGCAATTAAGTTAACTAATCTAGCATCAAACCGGTGAGTTAAACATATTATATTCCTTTCTAGCTTTAGATATCACTTAAGCCTCTGTTAGTCCTATGGTGCATTGTCACAGTATTAGTGTTGCGGGGTTTTCAAACACCCCGTTTAAAATATTACATTCCTGTTTAGCCTTATATATCCCTTAAGCCTATGTTTATATCTCCAGTTCATATCTCATATCTTTGGCTTTTTCTCTTACTAAAGACCACACTTTCTGTTTTCTTGCTGTCAATGGCTATCAGGTTTTCCTTGCATTCTTCTACTACCCTACCCTAGGGAGGTACAGTAGTTTCCTTTTCTGAGTTGACTATCAACACAGTGCCATCTGTATCTTATATTGTTAAAATTATGCCGACTACAAACTGTTAAAACTATCATATCTGATTTTCTTAACCCTTTCACTGCCCTATTGTTATAGCATTGTTGTCTGGCTGTGCTGGCCCATTTTGGGGAAAAATAGAAAATGACCATTTACTGCAAATAAATGACTATAAAGACTGATAACATTGCAATTTTGGTTTTGACTGGATACCCTGCAGAACAGACTGAATGACCCCCACCTCAACAAAGAATATAATAAAAATAAGTCACAAAAAAGGGGTCATATGCTATCTTTTTATGGTAGTTTGGAAATAGTGCTAAGTACAAGTTTATTACACAAACACTATGGACCAACATTTCGTAGTATCTTGATACTGTAATGGATGACAGTTGGGAATGAGAAATTGGAGAACCAAGTTTGAATTCCAGTCAGTTTTGTTCCATTGACTTATGTGCAAATACTCTAGGTAAATGTATATATCCATCTTCTCCTCCCAACTATGAGTTAAATAGTTGGAATTCTATCTGGGACAATCATTGTTATTCTCAAAAAATTGTCCATGCAATATTCAAATACAAAAAGAAATTATTGAATGAAATAATACACAATCAGTTAATTTGGTTTGGTTTGGTTTGGTTTACGGCATATCAACCTCAATGGGTTATTTAATGCCAACAAGAATTTTATTGCTGGTAATACTTTTTTTCCAAAAATGTATTGCTGGTAATAATTTCTTCAAAAATGTATAAGCCATAATAATAACTCAATCAATCAACTGATAAATCACTATGTCTTTTTTTTATACTAATGTCCACCCAGTACAAGCCCCCAAAGCCATTCAAGGCAGAGGGTTAGTGTATGCTATTGTATGTGAGCATAAGAAAGGAAAAGACATGAAGTTCATAGAGCTCTACAGGAAAGATAACAGTTAGACTTGAAGTTATCAAGAGTGTAGCAATTGGGAAAACACCCTGCTGGGATTATGTTCCATAATGCACTAGTCTTTCTAGGAATACAAAGGAAAGGGGGTGATTTACTCTTGTGTACAGCGTACGGTTGATCCCAGTTGTAAATTTCAGTGTGTGAGGGTTAAGGAATGAAACTCATCAGAACACATGGCTGGGAAGGTTTGCAATGTTTCATCTGTGGGAAAGGGGTTGTAGAGTGAAGAATAATTCATTACCCACAAGGCCACATGGACACTTTTGAGCTCAAGACAAACAGGTGAGGATTGTACAGCTCTATATAAGATATGGCAGTAATATTCCATTTTTGGTCTTATCTGGTTCTTCTAAAGACAGAGTATGGCAAGGGGAGTGGTACAGTGAACTGACCATTTTTCCACCATCTTTACAAATAGACTGAATATATGAGTTCCACTTGAGGCCTGGGGAAAGTTTGCATTCCAATAGACAATCAAGGCAAGGAGCCTCTTTGAGAGACAACACATGTATCATTCTACCATCTTTAACAATAGATTGGATATATGAGTTCAACTTGAGGTCTGGGGAGAGCTTGCATCCCAATAAACAATTAAGGCAAGGAGCCTCCTTGAGAGAGGACCGATATATCATTCTACCATCTTTAGCAATGTAAGTTTTGTAAAGATGTATATGTATGTACTGAAAATGTATATATATGTCAACAGCAGGCAATGTAAGTTTTGTAAATATGCTCACAGCAGTGGAAGTTTTAATGCTTAATGAGTTGATTTTCTTTCCATGAATTTTTCAAGCACAAATGATTTGGTTTCTGTCTGAATTTCTCAGATGAGAAGTTATCGTTATTTTATGCTATTTACATGTGGACTATTGTTTCCATTTTTGTTAAGTTGGATTTAAATTTTCTTTCATATTAATTCTACAGAATTACTTTTTCTTTACAGATTTTTTTAAAATGGCAATTAATCTTAAGTTTGTTTTTTTTTTTCCAGATGGCTTAGTTACCGTCTGGAACTGATGGCGAATCTGGCTACTTTTGTCACTGCTCTTCTCTGTGTAGCTGGAAGGGATCACTTAAATGGTGGACAAGTTGGTCTTTCAGTGATGTATGCTCTTGACGTAAGAACAGAGACATTATATTTCATTAGTAAATATCTATGTGGATGATAGTATAGTGTTTTATTGCACCTCACAAAACCCTTGATCACCAGAGCCTGGCAGCTGATCTATCATCTGATCGAGCTCTAACAGGTCAAAGGCAGAAAAACTTGTTTGTAACACTAAATCTAAATCCAAGCTGGTAATGTTTAATCATCACTGAACAGACCTTGAATTTTCTCTAGTCATGATGTGTGATTGTACTTTCAATAGAGTCTCTTTGATCTGAACACCTATTGAGACTCAACTTCACCCCAAACCTCAATTGGAACTTATATATACACTCATGCTCAAATCTCCTACATATCCTCAGTAGTATGAGACCACAGCTCCTACCATATTAGGCATTTTTGCTGTGGTTTGCATAGTAGGTAGATTTTTTTTACAGGATCAAGTTGCTAGCCTCATGCCAAACTAGTTTTGTATTGATAAATATTGCAACAGACTTGCTAGAATTGCCGACATCAAACAAATTCTTCATGAAAAGATAAAAAATACTTACACTTCAAAGACTTTCTGTATCCCTTGGTCTTGAAGTTAGTTTTTTGATAACTGATTTGTTTTTTATGGATTATCAACCCATTGCTAGTTATTTAAAGCCAGAAAGTATGTTTAAATTGTAAGGATTTTTTTTTTTGCAATAATAATGATTTTAATATCTATATTTCTGAGGTGAGGTATTGTAACTATTTACATCATTCAAACTATTATCCTCATCTTTATTGTCATATTCACAATGTTTTGGTTGTTGTACACTCCAGCCTTCTTCAGGTGATATACAATGGAATTTAAAACCGAACACATTATTTAATCCATGAGGTAGATTATTCTAATTCCAAGTGCCATGCCTTTTGGGGTCAAGTCCCTTTTTGAATTACTTCAACAAATGCTTTAATTCATTGTGGCCCAGTGGATACAAGTATTGGTTGAAGTAATCCAAAAAGTGACTTTACCCAAAGAGTTGTGAGTTCAATACCTAGCCACAGCAGAGGTGAACAAAAACTTGGAGAGTTGAGTTACTAAAGGGAATTAACTGAAACTGAGATATCCAGAAGAGGCATGGCACGTGGAACTAGAACAATCTGATCCAATTGATCAATATTGACAATGTACTTACTCAGAAACGGTCCTACTTCATACCTGCGACCTTCCAATTTCAGCACACATGCAGTTTTGGGATTCCCCATTTTCCTGTACACATACACTTACCATGTCTTCATTGTGGCACAGCAATATCATGGTTTTGACAATTCTCAACTTTTTACCCTGTCAGCAAACTAGCCCAAAATACCTGTTGTTTCAAATCTCTGTTATCATCCCTGACTGACAGCTGTGAGTGAACACACTCCTCTAGACCGTGAGAATTGATATTTTCCTTTTAAATCATTCAGCACAGTTATATTGTATCAGCAATATACTCAAGTCTCATATTGTTACACAAATAATGATAATAATATTTTTAACAAATATGTTTAATGTTTGTTAATTTGATTTGGTTTTATTCCATGTTCAAAAATGCCACCTTACTTTTTGAAATGCTTTCATCTAATAAATTTGACAATTATTTCTCTGTTGGTCTCAAAATAAACATTTTTTCTAATCTCACAGATTACATTCTATCTCAACTTGTTGGTTGTAAGAATCTGTTCACTGCAAACGGACACTGTCTCTGTTGAAAGGGTCAAAGAGTACTCCCATCTTGAACCAGAGGTAAGTTAATTGCATTCTATTCAACGTGAGGGCACATAGGCCTTCCTACCTCATTTTCACTTAATGGTGTTAGGATGCACAGTGGTGTAATGGTCAGCAGCATGGAACAAGAAATTGTAGTGCCAAGTTCAAATTCCAGTCAGGTTCATTGCATTCACTTACATGCAAATACCCTTCAGACAGGTACAAATCCATCTTTTCTCTCCCTCAGCTATGAATAAATAGCAGGACAGGCTAAACCCTATGGCCTGGATTGGCAACCAGTCAAGAAAAACTCTAAATTTAAACCACCCTGGAAAGAGTTGAGTTCCAACAGGCTATCCTGACCAAGACACAGCACTGCTGCTATGGCTGCAATACAACCCTAATGTGTTACGGAACCCATTATAATGATTATGGTGTTAGGTTAGATATGTTGTACACAGATATGAAACATCGACCTTATTGACAAACTGAATGAACATACAACATAAATATATGAAAGTTCAAATAAAACATAAATGTCTTCGTATAAAAACACATGCATCTGCATATATATATATTTTATATTTGAAATTCTTATTACAAGTTAGCATGTATCTACTTTCAAAAGACTATGTACTAAAAAACAATATGAATTTTTGTACTTATCTGTTTAGTTTGTCATGAACCTGAATTGCATGCATCCTGATACCTTAACTTCCAGGAAAAAAAGAAACTGATTTACTTTTCTGCCTAACAATGTCTTATGCAGGTCTTATCAGGTTATGTGACTGTTTTTAATTCTTGTGAATATTTATAACTATTTTTTACTGGTATTTTGGTTTCAGTCAAGTCATTGTTGTCTTCAGTATTTGGGTAAATAGTTTGTGTTTGTGTACTGAAGTCATATAACACCTGTATTGGAAGACAAAATTAAGACTTGTGCAAAATTGATGTATTTATATGTTAATAAATATTAAAACTATATGTAATTGCACAATATGAGAGATAAAGCAGATGTAAATACAAAAGTGGACACTGAGGTCAATACCGAGTGGCGACAATCTGTTTTCTTCCTGAGTGCAATCTTTAGGCTATGAAGAATTTTCTCAAGCATGAAACAAACTGATGCTACCCAGTGTTGACCTCAATGTCTATTTATATAATAAAAATATAGTTTTAAGATATGCTATATCAATGATTTAGGGCCCTCAGTATCAGGAATAGAGCATATGTAAATATAAAAGTGAACATTGAAGTCAACACCCAGTGGCAACAGTTGCTTTAGGCATGAAAAACCTTCAATATACACTTTTATATTTTTTATATTTATATTGAACAATTACACAAAGGTTCATCTACAAAACTCCTGAATAGAGGTACTGAATATAACATCAATCGGTTAAGTGAGAAGTTTTATATTTGTATTAATTATATATATATATATATATAATTATTTATTTAAAAATATGATTCCAACACGCTACATAAGAGTTCTCATGTTTCAAAACAAGAGCCGAAAACTTCAATATAATTATTTGAATTAAATTGAATTAAAGTACTAAGCTCCATTCCATCTTCAAGCAAAATTCTTTTGGGAATAACTTATTTCTGAAATTTACGCGTTTTATAAGCATATTCATTATTGAAATCAAAATTTCTATGGTAATGGCTAGAGCAATTGTTTAAAGAAAAGGGGCGTAAGGTGTTAATAATTTGTATCAATATCTCAGTTACATTCACAGATGTCAAGTCAGGGTAAGGTTGAGGTGTGTAAATTTAAAGCGGAAGGTGACATCGTCTGGTTAAGTGTCTATGGAGATTTATTTATTTTTTATTTTATTTTTTATTTTTTTCTGAAAGGGTTTTGTGTATATATTCCTATTTTCTATATATTTTTCACACACACACACACACACATATGTATATATATATATATATATATATATATATATATATATGCTTGAATATTATCTTAAAAGATATAACAAAGTTACCAACCTAGGTATATAGAAATTTTTGATAAAATCCTAAGAAGAATCTGCAATGTTATCAATCTTGACATACCATCTAGGCTTCATTTACTTTCTCACCACCATAATGTAGCTCCCCTGTGCCTTTTCTACAAATATTTTCATGGTAATTGTTCAGATGTGCTTTCCTCTTTGTTGCCTAGACTTTATGAGTTTAAGCGCAGTACTAGATTGGCAACTAGGTCTCATCATTTTACAGTTGAAATGGCTAGATGTAACCATAAGTTCTATGTTAACAATTTCTTCTCCCATACTTCTCACTTTTGGAATACTCTTTCAGCTTCTTGTTTTTAAATCAACTTTGATCTTCAAAAATTTAAATGTAATGTCGATTGTTATCTTTTGTCTTAATTTCTGTTCTTTCATTGTTCTCTCTCCTTAATAATGTTTTTTTTTTCTCATATTCTATTTACATTGTTCAGACTATCGTCCTTATCTTGGTTGCCATATTTATCACAACGTTTTGGCCGTTGTATGCTCTGGCCTTCTTCAGGTGGTTGGAATGTCGAACTGAACCCTTTATTTTGCTCACTGGGGTAGACTATTTTAGTTCCATGAGCCATGTCTAATGGATGTCAGTTATAGGTCATCTCCTGTTAATTCCCCTTTCCAAGTTCTCCACTGCTTTAACCGGGTATTGAACTCACAAGGACACATGGCACAGTGGATAAAGACATTAGTTAGATCCAGTGACAGGACCCAAAGAGTGTGAGGCTGTTGGGCTGAACAAAAATGAATGAAAATAAAAACAATTTTTATTCATTTACTGTCTGAAAACAGCAAGAATTTGATTGAATTGAAACCATTAATTCCATGTGCATGTCAGCTAGTCACCATGTTTAATCCAGAAGCGTTGCACTTGATTTTCAAGACAAGGGAAGTAACTTGATTGTATTTTGAGTTATCATCCTTTATAGGGGAAGTAAATCAGCTTCCCCCTAACAGTACAGATAAAAAAAAATAATGAAATTGACATAGTGATCAGCACTTCTGTCTCAGATCAGAATATATGTTTGCTCTGTCTTGGATAAAATTATTGCTTCCTAGTAATTTAGCCTATGATCAGTGTAATATTTGTGCACTGTGTAAAATGCATTACACACACACACTCTCTCTCTTTCTCTTTCTTTGTCTTTAACTCTGAAATGCCTCTCTGTGCATTTCCACACAACAAAATTTGGAAAGAAAGAGAGAGAAGGAAGGGAAAAAGATGATATGGAGGAAGAAAAGTGGAGGGTACTTACTATTAAAGCTGGAAAAGAATGAAAAGAAAAGCAAGTGAAACACAATTTGGGAAATACAGCACCGAAATAAAGACAAAGTTTACTATCTTGAGACTTATTACTCCTTTATCCCTTTGAATATTTCAAAGTGGGTGAAGCTTTATTTTTTTAAATTTTTTGTGTATGATTTTCATGCATATGAAGATAGGCAGAGTAAGTCATAATTAGGTTGAAAATCAAAAAAGATAAGGTCATCGGTTATAAAAATATAAGTTAGTATGCAAAAGTTTCTAGGTTTTTTATCAACAAGAAAAAACGGTTTTCTACTGTGTACTGACTTAAATTTCTTTTTAAATGTTGAGGCTGGAAACCTTTTCCCACACCCAATATATTGAAAAATAAAAATATTTCATCTATGCACATCAGAAATCAATTTGCATCTACAGTTTTTCATTTTCAGGATTGCTTCTTACTTTCATGCATTTTAATGACTTTTGTAAATAAATTCTGATAATTATTATCAATTATTTTCTCATTAATTTCTCTATTATTTTCTAATTTTCTGTGTAAGGCTCCTTGGACCATTGAAGAAACTAAACCAAAAAAAGAATGGCCGGACTCAGGTCAGATTGAATTCAAGAAATTTAGTATGCGATATCGAGAAGGGCACAAACTCATTATTAAGGGAATCTCTTGTTTAATAAAAGCCAAAGAAAAGGTGAGTACATATATTTGATAATATAATAATTCTTTCAATTCTTCAACAGTTAACTGCTATCATTCATACAATTCTCCATAATTTAACTGAGATCATTCTTTCAAATCTCCAATATTCGACTGAGATCATTCTTTCAATTCTCCAACATTCGACTGAGATCATTCTTTCAATTCTCTAACATTCGACTGAGATCATTCTTTCAATTCTCCAACATTCGACTGAGATCATTCTTTCAATTCTCCAACATTCGACTGAGATCATTCTTTCAATTCTCCAACATTCGACTGAGATCATTCTTTCAATTCTCCAACATTCGACTGAGATCATTCTTTTAATTCTCCAATATTCGACTGAGATCATTCTTTCAATTCTCCAACATTTGACTGAGATCATTCTTTCACTTTTCCTACATGTAACTGTGCAATTAGTATTTTGTAAGTTTGAACAAAACTAAATAATAGTAAAACTTTTATTTACTGCATTTTCTTTTTCGATGTTTAGAGTTCTTTTGTATTTAGAACAACATATATTAATTTTTTATTTAGGACAGTATATATTAGTTTTGTACTTAGAAAAACATATATTAATTTTTAAAGCATCAGATTGAATTTTTGTCTGGTAAAATCTTTCAAGTACGACTGCCACTTTTTTTCAAAACTTTATCTTCAAAATAAGGGCACATTTTCTATTCCAAAAAATACGGTAGCCCAACATGTCAAAAGATACCAAAATTAATAGATTGCAACATATATCAGTGAGATGAAATTTAAAGCCAACAATACCTTCCAAAAGTGATGAAAAGTATTAAGATACAGGAAAATTTCATTAAAAATAAAGAAAATAGTACTGAACTGTTACATAATATCAGTCCTCCTATATGTCAGTGAATGCTGAAATATCTGTCATCCTGATTATGACAATAAACCACATATGAAAACAAGGTCTCTGATCAGGTGACCTCTGAACTATTAAGGTCCCAGCTATGGGCAAATAATGAACACCCAAACTGAAGTCAAAGCATGAAAATATAAAAAGAAAAATTACCAGCAATACATTTTCATAGTAAAAAAAAAAAATTTTAAATTACCAGCAATACATTTTCATAGTAAAAAAAATTTTTTAAATTACCAGCAATATATCAATGGAAAAAAAAAGTTACCAGCAATACATTTTCATAGTAAAAAAAAATTTTTTAAATTACCAGCAATATATCAATGGAAAAAAAAAGTTACCAGCAATATATTTTCATAGTAAAAAATTTTTTTTAAATTACCAGCAATACATCAATGGAAAAAAAAAAGTTACCAGCAATACATTTTCATAGTAAAAAAAAAATTTTAATTAAATTACCAGCAATACATTTTCATAGTAAAAAAAAAAATTTTTAATTACCAGCAATACATCAATGGAAAAAAAAAGTTACCAACAATACATTTTTGGGAAACAAAAAAAAAAAAATTTTACCGGAGTAAAAAAAAATTTTTAATTACCAGCAATCATCAATGGAAAAAAAAAAAGTTAAAATTTTTTTGGGAAACAAAAAAATGACTCATAAAATTTTGGATTAAATGTTGATTGATATGTTGTTAAACAAACCAAGCCAAACCAAACAATCTCACACATGAAGCAGAGAATTGAAGCAACAGAAATGTGGTTCTACAGGAGGATGCTGAGAATACCATTGACTGAACGACAAAGTTTTATAGGAAATGGAAACAAAGACACTGATACATAGCATCAGAAAGAGAAAGTTGAAATTTCTCAGTCACATAATGAGGAAAGACGGCTTGGAAAATTTGACACTCACAGAGCATTGAAGGCAAGAGGGACAGAAGAAAGCAGAGAATAACCTATGTAATAAGCTTGTGCAAATGGTTGGTAGAAACAAGGATTAGGAGATATAGCAACAAAAAATTTGCTATCAGCTACAAAGGAAAAGAAATTGTGGAGGGCCATGATCATAACACCCTGAAGGGACACAGAGCATAGAAGACGAAGAAAGATGTTTAACATTTTCACTGTTGCATCGTTGCTTGGCTATGCTTACCTTTTGGAGGGCATCTTTCACTATCCCAATTCACCTTTGGCTTTTAATATTCTTTTTATAATAACACGACCAAACAGACAAATGATAATTTCACATCAGTGTAATGGGTAACCTGAAAAGTTCCATGTTTATATATCATTATGAACATTTAGTTTTAACTAACTTCATTCAAATTGATTGTTTTTCGTTGTATTATGGAAGCTGTCATATCACTATATTTGTTCAAAAAATTGATGTACTGTATTTTCTGGCTTACAAGATGCACTTTTTTCCTAAAAAATAACCTGAAAAATATATGTGCATCTTCCAAGATGAATTTAAGGCAATACCCAGGCTCAAGTAAGCTTGGACAGTTACCTAATTGGCTTAACTGATAGGAACATGGATTTGTATGTTGAGTCATTACACTATAATGTTAGCTATCTAATTCAGACTTTTATATGATGTAACCTCAGTACTTAGCTGTTAAAGAATTTCCAAGACTATAAACCTTCCTGAAGCCGAGCCACAAGCTTAAATATGCTCTGTTTACTAGGAGCCTTTCTGCTCTTGACTAGTATGTCATTGCCATACAAACAAAATCAAATGAGTGATTAATTTAAACAATACATGGCACCAGTATGTGAGGGATACAAGGTGAATGTGTTGTTGTATGAGAATGACTTTTTCTTTTCTTAAAAATTTCTTTCCAATATCAGAGTGCATCTTCCAAGCCACAGCATCTTGTAAGCTGGAAAATACGGTATTTTTGTTTATAGATTCGAACAAGTGATTAATGTAAACAATAAACAGCCTTTTGGATTATCATATGTTTTCTGCCTGAATATCTGGGATGAGGATTTATCATTATTTACATGTGGATTATTGTCTTCACCTTTGTTGTTGTTATCACAACATTTCAGCTGTTGTGTCCTCTAGTCTTTATCTCATTTGTGTTGATTTGCATAATCCACAGGGAATTCTGAGCTGAACCCTTTATTTAATCTACACAGGTAGACTGTTCACATTCCCCTCTCTAGGGATGTCTCATTGATTTCATATCTTAGTACTGCTTAGTTATTGCTAGCCCTGTTCCCTGAGTCCAGGTACATACTGCCCTGCAAACCAATGACTATTGTCACTAGGCTATTGTCACATAACAACAACAACAAAGATGACGAAAATTGTTCAAATGCAAATAATGTAAATATACATTTTTATTTTAAAGAAATGTAAAATGTAAATCATTTTGGGAGAATATTATGATACATAAATTTCGATGCATCAGAACAATATTGAGTAATTGAATGACAAAATGGAAAATTCTGTGTAACATGTTTCATTCTATAAAAAGGACTTCATCAGACAAATGTTGTTATTAATGGGATTATATATGTAGGAACAGTGGAAAATTATTTTTTTCTTTTAATTAAAGCAGCATTTTTAAATCAGAATTATGGTCAGATTCATTATGATGCACAACGAGTCTTCCTGGTGATGCAGTGGCCTTGTCGGAATTAAATTTCTTTTTATATATGTATTTTTTTAGGATTAAATTGGGCATCACATAAACACGCATCGGTTAATTGAATGACAAAATGGAAAATTTTGTGTAGCACGTTTCGTCCTATAAAAAGGACTTCATCAGGCTAATGTTGTTATAGATGGGATTATATATATATATATATATATATATATATATATATATATGTAGGAACAGTGGAAAATATTAACCTAAATGTTAGTTATAATTATGCTCCAAGGTGGACAATGTGAAGAAGTAGGAACACTAAATTCTAAAACTGTTAAGATGTGTAGCCTGGCTGATCTCTTTCGATTTCTCAACACTTTTTTATTACTTTTTCGTTTAAATATCCCACACTGCAACAACAGAAAATTTATAAGAAATATGGCATGTTGTAAGAACTTGAATGCAAATTTACTGTGGATGACTCAGAAATCAGTGCACTTTCTAAAGATTTTCATCTTAGCAAATTATTTTTTCTCTTAATTAAGCTACATTTTTAAATCAGAATTATGGTCAGATTCATTACAATGCTCAAATAATGTGTGTTGTCTTGTAAAAGATCTTGTTGTGGTTTTCCTGGCTTTGGTTGGCCTTGTCTGAATGTAATTTTTTTATCTATGTATTTTTTTAGGATTAAAAAGAACATCACATGACCACAACTGGATTATAATATTACAAAGAAAATCATATATGAGATACAATGAAATAATCATAAAAAAAAAAACAATAAATTGCTTTGGTATATTTGAAGTTTTAAAGAGGAACAAAAAGAGAGAGATTATAATTCTTGGGTTATTCTGTTCAAACTCCAAAACCACATTGAATTCTTGCTCTTCCTGAAATAAAAGGTACAAAGGGAAGGAGGAGGCAGAGACACTGGAAATGGATTCAGGAACTTTATTATGGTAACAACGGTCTGTTGAAGGGAAATGCCTTCCTGAGCAAAAGACACATGTTTACTCATTGAAAGTCCAAGGGAAAAAGAGAACGATTCTTCTAGTTTGTCTTTGGCACCAGGAAGCCCCTCTTCTCTCCTGCATGTGCCATTTGTTCTTCCTGTCGGGGGCATCCTGGGAGATTCTTCTTTTTATTTTATTTTTTTATTTTTTTTTTTTTTCATCAATACACAATCCCCACATATACATTTCAGAGAAATGATTATATATTTTAAAGAAGATATATGCATATGGAAATAAAGAAATATTGCTTATCTGTTGGGGCAATATTTTTTATTCCAGAATGTCTGCATTTTCAGCAAGAGAAAGTTTTGATTTTGGTTTCAATTAGCAGTAAAAATCTTGTTCTGATGTATCATGGGAATATTCCATATTTTATTTAATTGTTTTTTTTTTATAATTTAACTTTTTCTTTATTGTTAATAACCGTTCTTATGTGTATTTTAAAGTATTTTTATTGCTTAATTTTTATTTTTATTATTAATTATTTTGGTTCCAGACTACTAAATTACTACTGGTTGGGGATTATGTAGTAATTTATTTATTGCTATCCCTGCAATCTCTTTTGTATTCATATAATTTATTTAAATTCCTCAAATCTTTCTAATCCATTCAAATGTAATCAATTTATTTAATGGCATAATCATCCTCTTCAGAATAAAAACTATTTTTAATGTTTCAGATTTTCCCAATAATGACTCGTACATTTTACAATGTTTGTATGTTTATCTAGAATTCAAATATTTTTCTCCCTTCCTTTCTCAGGTTGGAATTGTGGGACGCACAGGGGCAGGAAAATCTTCATTGTCACTTTCTCTTTTCCGACTGATTGAAGCTGCCTCTGGGGAGATTGCTATTGATGGTCACTGTATAGCTGATATGGGACTCCATGATGTTAGAACAAAACTCACCATTCTACCACAGGTAAGCAGAAAAAATATAACCATTTTTATCTGAAATTTTTTAGATGAATCATTCTTTGCCATTATAATGTTTGCTAACTGCCAATGATCTTCAGTCATAATGGTAGTTGTGTAGTGAGTAGCCATGGTCAAATTCAAAATAAAAGACAGAACTGTCCGACAAAAAGAACAAAGTTTGCAATAAAAAGAAAAAGGTACATGGCAAAGATGAAATAATATCAAGAAATGCAACGCAAATTAACAATAAAAGGACACATAGTGGATAAAGGTGTTGGTTAGATCCAGTGACAATACCCAAAGAGTGTGAGTTCAATACCCGGTTAAGGTAGTGGAGAACTTTCAGAGGGAAATTAACCGGAGATAACTAATAACTGACATCCATTAAACATGGCAAGTGCTACCCCAGTGAGCGAAATAAAGGGCTCATTTCGACATTCCAAGCACCTGGAGCGTACAACAGCTGAAACGTTGGAACAAATATGGCGAAAAAGATGAGGACAATAGTTCAAATAATGTAAATAATGTACATAATACCTCATCTCAGAAATATAGACAGATACTGAAGGACTGAAATGTTGTAATAAATATGGCAACAAAGATGAGGACAATAGTCCTAATAATGTAAATAGTGTACATAATACCTCATCTCAGAAATATAGATAGATACTGAAAGGCCGAAACGTTGTAATAAATATGGCAACAAAGATGAGGACAATAATCCGAATAATGTAAATAGTGTCCATAATACCCAATCTCAGAAATATAGACAGATACTGAAGGACTGAAATGTTGTAATAAATATGGCAACAAAGATGAGGACAATAGTCCGAATAATGTAAATAGTGTCCATAATACCCCATCTCAGAAATATAGATAGATACTGAAAGGCCGAAACGTTGTAATAAATATGGCAACAAGGATGAGGACAATAATCCGAATAATGTAAATAGTGTCCATAATACCCAATCTCAGAAATATAGACAGATACTGAAGGACTGAAATGTTGTAATAAATATGGCAACAAAGATGAGGACAATAGTCCTAATAATGTAAATAGTGTCCATAATACCCCATCTCAGAAATATAAATAGATACTGAAAGGCCGAAACGTTGTAATAAATATGGCAACAAAGATGAGGACAATAATCCGAATAATGTAAATAGTGTCCATAATGCCCAATCTCAGAAATATAGACAGATACTGAAGGACTGAAATGTTGTAATAAATATGGCAACAAAGATGAGGACAATAGTCCGAATAATGTAAATAGTGTCCATAATACCCCATCTCAGAAATATAGATAGATACTGAAAGGCCGAAACGTTGTAATAAATATGGCAACAAAGATGAGGACAATAATCCGAATAATGTAAATAGTGTCCATAATACCCAATCTCAGAAATATAGACAGATACTGAAGGACTGAAATGTTGTAATAAATATGGCAACAAAGATGAGGACAATAGTCCTAATAATGTAAATAGTGTACATAATACCTCATCTCAGAAATATAGATAGATACTGAAAGGCCGAAACGTTGTAATAAATATGGCAACAAAGATGAGGACAATAATCCGAATAATGTAAATAGTGTCCATAATACCCAATCTCAAAATATAGACAGATACTGAAGGACTGAAATGTTGTAATAAATATGGCAACAAAGATGAGGACAATAGTCCGAATAATGTAAAATAGTGTCCATAATACCCCATCTCAGAAATATAGATAGATACTGAAAGGCCGAAACGTTGTAATAAATATGGCAACAAAGATGAGGACAATAATCCGAATAATGTAAATAGTGTCCATAATACCCAATCTCAGAAATATAGACAGATACTGAAGGACTGAAATGTTGTAATAAATATGGCAACAAAGATGAGGACAATAGTCCGAATAATGTAAATAGTGTCCATAATACCCCATCTCAGAAATATAGATAGATACTGAAAGGCCGAAACGTTGTAATAAATATGGCAACAAAGATGAGGACAATAATCCGAATAATGTAAATAGTGTCCATAATACCCCATCTCAGAAATATAGACAGATACTGAAGGACTGAAATGTTGTAATAAATATGGCGACAAAGATGAGGACAATAATCCGAATAATGTAAATAGTGTCCATAATACCCCATCTCAGAAATATAGACAGATACTGAAGGACTGAAATGTTGTAATAAATATGGCAACAAAGATGAGGACAATAGTCCTAATAATGTAAATAGTGTACATAATACCTCATCTCAGAAATATAGATAGATACTGAAAGGCCGAAACGTTGTAATAAATATGGCAACAAAGATGAGGACAATAATCCGAATAATGTAAATAGTGTCCATAATACCCAATCTCAGAAATATAGATAGATACTGAAGGACTGAAATGTTGTAATAAATATGGCGACAAAGATGAGGACAATAATCCGAATAATGTAAATAGTGTACATAATACCTCATCTCAGAAATATAGACAGATACTGAAAGTCCAAAACGTTGTAATAAATATAGCAACAAAGATGAGGACAATAGTCCAAATAATGTAAATAATGTACATAATATCTCATCTCAGAAATATAGACAGATACTGTAAAAGATAAAAGGTTCACAAACTAAGAATTAGTGTTGATACACAAAAGCAAGCTCAGACAAGCAAACATAGTGCACTGTCTTCGAGATAAGGCAGATCTGGACTGAGGTTATTTAACTTAGCCTCCCCACAAGGCAGGATGAGGTGCATAGCCATTTTTTATGTGGGGTGATTCCAAACCTGTAGACTCAGCAAAAATTCCCTGATAGACCACACATACATGCGATCAGGTTTGTCTATCCCCAGACATGACTCTGCTCTTCAGTATAACCCATGGGTTACTCTCTGCCCGGAAGTATAGTGTTCAACAAACCAGCCATACACCTGGCAGTGAACCACCTGAGTCATCAAATCTGGACTAAGGTTATTTATCTCACCTCCCCACAAGGCAGGATGTGGCATAAGGACATTAATTTATGTGGGGCAAATACAAGCCTGTAGGATTGGGCAAAAGTTCCCCACAAACCCTGCATACACAGGGTCAGGTTTGTCTACCGCCCCAGACATGACTCCACCCTTTGACATAGCCTTGTCTGGGTTCCTCTTTACTCAAAGGCAGAAAGTTTGACAAGTCAGTCCAAACCCCCTGAATCGGTAGATCTGGACTGAGTCATGTCAAACTGTAAACTGGCCTATTTTATTGTCTAAGAAAAATATCCCAGCATGCATTGTGGACTTCTGCCTATAAAATTGGAAGAGCAAGTGTTCAGCAGTCATTCCTATTAAGGATATTCCATCCCCCATCATTTTCATTATTAAATAGATTTTTACATATTTTTGTTAAAAAAAAGAAAGAAAACAAAAAGAGACATTTTAAACATTTATAAAATTTTTACATACTGGGGTGTTTTGTAGGTCCCCCTCTGAATATGCAGTATTGTGGTATATGTAGAATTAAAAGGTGATGGACAAGTTCTTTTGGTGATTGAGTATATTGTATTGAATGAATAGGTCATAATTGTGATTAACTAGGACTAGGATAGTTTGTGTTGAACAGCCTTTAACCCAATTCCACTTCAGCCTTGTGCCACAATTTTGTATTATGTACAGAATAAATATACATTCCTATTAAGTATTGAAACCAACAATAGTTGTAGAAAAGCCTAATTTGTTGTTCTGTAGTTAATAATCCTTGCATTATTTGGATGCAGAATGGAAAGAAAAAGAGAGGTTGAACAAGTCACAAAGTTTCTTTATTTCAAATTGGTTGATTACTTCCAAGTGTGGGTTGCAGTGTACCACTCTCTGAATCATTGGATGGTCAAAAAGCAAAAACAAATGCTGCTGTTTTGTATTTGATTCTTGAGATAGCATCATCAGAGTGACTAACTAGCATCAATGAACATGCCATGACTTTGCTCATGAGGCATTTTAAATACTAACCCTAACCTAATACAAGTCATCTACCATGAACTCAACTTCTTACTTTGCTACCAGAATAAAACTTATTAATATTATGTCAATGTACACAAGATATTTTTCAGAGGGGGCTGGATTGTAATTTTATGAATTTGGTGTAAATTCTCCTGCTGATTTTGCCATTGGATAACTAAATCAAAAAATTCATTTCTGCAACATTGAACGAACTTGAAATAAAAAGAAAAGAATAGGCAAAGTTTAACTTAGTACTGTAAAAAAAAAAGTGTATCAAAAGGATGGATTTTCTTTTGATATTACAATTACTGTAGAATCCCTCAGCAATTTTTACTGTTTTAAAATCTAATTTTAGAAATTTAATAAAATCCAAACATATCAAATTGGATTCATGCATTCACTTTTTTTTTAACTTATTAAGTTGAGAATTTTCACCTATTTGCTTAAAGAAATCATTTTCTCTTTGAAATATTCCAACCTCTTTACTCAACATTTTTCCCCCACTTTTTAGGATCCAGTGCTGTTTTCAGGTACCATTCGAATGAACCTTGATCCATTTGATTGTTATTCCGATGATGAAATCTGGCTGGCTTTGGAACAGTCTCACATGAAAGAAAAGATTCAAGCTCTTGAGAATGGCATCTACTATTGCTGTGATGAAGGGGGAAAAAATTTCAGGTAAGTTTGTCTCCATTCCCAATGAACAGTACACAAAACAAAACTTAAATTGGATTGGATTGACTGTCTAGTGTTGAAGAGAAATGGAAATTCTCATTGGCTGAGGTTTTTTGGCAAACACACATCAGTACAGATGCAAAAGAGCCCTCAGATCACATGCAAACATGTTTGTCAACACCAGTTGCATCTGGGTTTTTGCTATTAGCAGCAGGACAGTTTGGCATGTCTAGATACAGGCCTCTCTGCAACTAGTCAAAATCTGGGTCTTTGTAAAATGCTTCATGCCAATAAAAACTGGGGGAAAACAGCAGTTAGGAAAATACAGTGTCTTGTAAAGTTGGTCCCTTTGGCATTTTGTTCCTCAAGTTGCTGTGGTTTTTGAGGCAGTGTTATTTTTTGTTAACCCCTCTTCCCATCTCTTTACACTCTCCCTATCACCCCCCATAGTTGCTGGGAGAGTTATCGGTTAGGCGTTTCCCCTAATCTCAACAGACTCTTACCGTACATTACAACAGGTTTGTTACTATTATTCACAGTGAAGAAAAACCTTTTTTAAGTGCTGTGACCAGTATTTTTAGTCACAATTTGATACATTTTTACTTATTTTATTTTAATTTATTTTATTTATTTATTTTATTTTATTTATTTACTTTATTTATTTATTTATTTTATTTTATTTTAGTCACAATTTTATTTATAAATAATATTTTAGCCATATAACTAAGAAATTTCAAATTTACATAACCTATTTAACCAATTAATTTTGCATAGCCTATTTAAAATTTGACAGATTTTTTTCTACTGCCATGTTAGAGGAATATGGAGGCATAAAATCAGCTTTCAAAATACAGACAGTGCAAATTGCTGGTAGTCTCCATTCTTCTATATGGATATGAAATATGGATACTGTTTGCAGAAACAGAGAGAAGGATCCAAGCATTTGATGCATGAGAAAACTCCATGGCATTTTCTATTGGAAACAAAAAAAAACAATGAGTTTGTGTGGAAAAGGGTTGAAAGTTTTGTGGGCCACCAGGGACCTTTTCTCGCCACAGTCAAATGAAGAAAAATGGTGTGGTTTGGACACATTACAAGGCATGACAGCCTGTGCAAGACAATTATAAAAGGCAGTATAGAAGGTGGACATAGAAGAGAATGCTAACACAAAAACTGGTTGGAGAATGTCAAGCAATGGATAAGTATGACTCTACCAGAATTGTTGATGGCTGCCATTGATAGACTGTTGTGGAAAAGAGTTGGTGTGGCTTCTGCATTCAAATGCCAATTATGATTACAAAAGTCAAGATGATGATGATGATGATGATGATGAAGAAAGGTATACATATATATATATATATATATATATATATATATATATATATATAGATAATCCCAAGGAGCCAGAAACCTACCTAGTTTTTCACCTAAACGGATCGTCAGGGCAATGCCGGCTCTTACCCTGATGATCCATTTAGGTGAAACCTAGGTAGGCTTGCCTGGCTCCTTAGGATTATCTTAGGTTTTGCTCTACTTAGTGTATTGAGCACTTTATGTAGTTGTCTTTTTACTCGTTTTGGGGTTTTTTTTCTTTGGACTTGGAGCGTGATCACTGGACGATTGTTCTTGGTTCTTTCTTTTTTTATTACCCATTTTTCCTCAGGTACTGATTTCTTCTACTACAAGTTGAGCTATCTGAGGTTTTTCCAAACAAGTACCACTATTTATTTATATATATATATATATATATATTGGCACCAACCTTTCTTTCAAACATCTTTCGTTGAATAGGGCTGACAAGATGTAGGAGGACTGAGTTAGCTGAAATTTTCTACTTAATAAATGAACAGACCTTTTTGACAAAGCCAATACATAGCAGTTCAGCACTTTTTTCTTTGTCTCTAATGAAATTTTCCTGTTTCTTAATCCTTTGCTTAGCTTTTGGAAGACATTTTTGGCTATTCCAATGAACTTTCATATTTTGGTGTCATATTTTCTGTCTTCCATTAAAACACTTTCCAGATATTTCACTTTTCGTCCTTGCTTGATTTTGGCATCCTCAGTTCATAGTTCACATCTTAGGCTGTTCCTCTTGCTGACAGCTATACTTTCTGTCTTCTTGCAATTGATATTTACTCTTTTCTCCTTAGTTTTCTTTATTCCACTCTCTAAGGATTCCTGCAATTTACTTTCTTTGTAAGTTACCAACATTGTGTCTTCTTTACATCATGTTTTTAAGACTGTGGCTGCCAATAATAAATCCTGGTAGGATTTCTAGTTCTCTTAGGCTGTAAAGCTTGAATAAGACTGGTGAGAACATGTATCCTTGTCTCATTCCATTTTCTATTTTTGTGTATTTACTGAATTTGTTTTCTGTCTGTATGCAGATGGTTTGCTCTCAGTATAATTTCTTGGTTATTCTAATATCTTTCCCAAATAAATCAAGCTTACCTAGTAGTTCAAACAGTTCTTTGGGCAAAATGCAATATTAAATGCTTTTGTATAATCTGTAACAAATGTTATCATCCTTCTGCTTTTGTATTGCTTTTTCTGATATCATTCTCAGCATTAACACTTTAACATTGTGGAAGCTAGGACTAGAATCCGAAGATGAGTTATACATGAAAACATTTTATACACAACATGGAATGACGCAACTATAAATCATACTAAAATGCAATACATAAATATACATCATGAATTGTTCCACTCAAAGAAATTAAAAAGCAACCAGTATGTGAAGTGGGGCATAATATAGTTCTAGTGATATGTTTTAGGTTCCTATTTAGGGCTAATAGGTATTGTGTTGTCCATTCTGGTCAACCAAAATGCAACTGAGTACAGCATCCAACTCTATCCTAAGCTAAGTAACAAATGATTATTCACAACAACACACTGTCACGTGACTCTCACAGGCCCCTTAAGACATCAGTAAATTCGTAAGAGAGATAATCACCTTCTATATTTTCAATCAAAAAGAGAAGTGATGCACCAATGAAAAGTCTATAAATTATTTTGAACTCAATATAAAGGTGAGTAAAAATGAGAAAATAAACCATCTATTGCTGATATCTTCCAACGAGTGAATGGAGCAATGGCTAGTTGGTCCATATACGAAACTCTAGAGTCAAGATACTGAAAATAACATCAATTAGCTTACAAATTTTATATTTGTATTAATCATATATATATATATATATATATATATATATATATATAGTAAAGTAATAAATCCGTTGGTATATATATATATATATATATATATATATATATATATATATATATATATATATATATATATATATATAAATTAATATATATATTATAAATTAATTGATTTAAAATATGTTTTTTTTTCGCTACACAGTTCCAACCATGTTTCAAAATAGAAGCTAAAACCCCAAATTTAATTTTGCAATTAAATTAAAAGCATTAGTTCCATTTCATCTTCAAGCGAATATATATATATATATATATATATATATATATATATATATATATAGTATGTACACCGGAGTTGAATATGATATAGTTTTCATCGGATGAAACACAGATCTATTTCAACTGATGAAAACCCTATCATATATGTGTGTTGGGTTTTGGCTCAACTATTTATTTATGCTGTTCTGTGGTACATTATGCATAGGTCTGTTGTATTGTTTAGTTAGGTGCTTGGTAGCAGTTATGTTTCAAATGATTCTAGGGGTTATTCAGTGGAAATAATTGTCAATCCAAATGCAATTTTGTGGCTATTTTATAGTTTTGTTTGTTAATGATTTTTGGGAATTTTTTGTTTTATTGTTAACCAAACTTGTATAAATTAAAAATTTCTGTCCAAATACATATAATGATAATGGACTCTGCCATCAGTTTCAATGTATGGGGATCTGACAGCTTAAGTGATTCAATTATGGAATTTTGTGCGATAATCTTAATTGGCATTTAAGACCCGCTAGTGATTTACAAAGGAGGCCACATATGGAGCAAGAGTGAGGATTGTGGGATGAGATCACTATTAGATTGGGTGACCTTTTAGATCTTGCTCTCGCTTCTTGAAGATGATTCAGACAAGCAGATTGAAAACTGCTGAGTTTTCTAAAACATGTTGATCTCCATTCTACCCGCTCCAAGGCTAAGCACTCAAGGGTGTTATGTGGTATATTGACAGCTGACAAGTTGCTTTTCAGCTTGAGATAAGAATGAACGAATCAAGGTAAACCACCAGAAAACCCACACAAGTGATTTGATTAAAGTGGTGAAGGCTTGTGCAGAACCATCCATAGATTTTGGAACTATTGATACACTCAGTGCAAATAAATGCCACAGACAAAGCAGACAATATACCTCAGTAATATATATATATATATATATATATATATATATATATCCTTTTTTTGTAAAAGATTCATGGATTTCTTTTTTATTAATTGGGCAGATTTTAAGTAAATATACTGTTTAAAAAATAAACGAAGCACCTACTCAAATATGCTTATCCACTGAAAATAACGTTTACACACACACACACACACACATGGTATGATGGGTAAATTGTTGCCATTTTATATTTTTAATTTCAAGCATGTGCATTGTTTGTTTTTGATTTTGTCGACTGCACAGTATAGTAGGGTCAGTTGGGCACCATCTGTGAGAAAAAGAGCACCATGACACAATTCATTCCGCCAGAAATTTGGAAACAGTATGCTGTACTGCTTGGCATTTGTACCGGAAGCTCCAATACAAACATTTCAGAAGTGTTTGGGTGTCAATCTGAGGATAGTGCAGATGATTCAGAAAGAGTTGGATGAGTCTAATGGTGATTACAAAGGTACGGCAGCTTGGAAAACTCACTCCGCTCTGATAAGAAAACGACTCCCGACTTTTTTGGTGAGTGTCTTAGACTCAAAACAGAGGCCTACATCAAGTGTCTTGAAGAGGTAGTGCTGCACTGGGTCAAAAGGGTGGCTCCTGGAAGAACATAAGTCAGGCAGCAGGACTCTGTACCATGCCAGCAGGAAAACTCAGTCATGGCTGTCAGACAATTTCTGCGACCACACCACCCCTTACATCTGGCCATCTAACTCATCAGACTGCAACCTCCTTGATTATTATGTGTAAGTTGCAGTTGATCCAGAGACCAAAAAAACTCCTTGTAACACCAAAGATGAACTAAAGGCAAGGATTATGGCAGCAATCACCAACTTAAACAAGGAGACCGCCCAGAAGAGTTGCAGGAGATTCCAAAGTCATCTGGAGGGCTTGATTGAAGCCAATGGAGAATTTGTTGAATAAATTTACTCTTTAGTATTTCAAGATAATTTTGTGTAATTTTGGTAAATATATGTGTTAAAATGAAATTAGAGTGCTATTTTCAATTTTGCATAATTTAGACGACAATTTATTCAGCACAGCCTATATATATATATATATATATATATATATATTCATTCATGCATGTTGTGTCTGGGCATTACTAATTGCTTCACAGATAACTACCGTTGCCAATGATTTAAAAAGTAATTGTGTTTTCTTTCCTTTATTACAGTGTAGGGCAGCGGCAATTGCTCTGTCTGGCCAGAGCTCTACTGCACAAGACAAAAATTTTAATTCTAGATGAAGCCACTGCTTCCGTAGATATGAAGACGGATGATCTGATACAGCAAACAATCAGGGCGCATTTCAATGATTGCACAATTATAACAATTGCTCATAGACTCAACACTATCATGGATTATGACAGGTAAATACAAAAGCATTTTTGAAAATATCTCCTTTTATTATTTTCTTGCTTTAGAGATTGAAAACATTGACATTTTTATGTTTGTATGAAAACCTAAAATGAAGATGGTGTGATGGCTATCAGCATGGAAAATAGAATTGCCTGAATCAAGTTCAAATTCTGGTTGAAATAGTTTGTAATCATTTTATCTTAATATCCTTAAGAATAGCATGACTTAATCTTTTTATAAATGGGAATGTCGCGGATAAGTCCCATTTGCTCTTTTGATCTCCACTTTAAGCAAATAACAGGGTAGGGTGTGCATTCATTCAATTAGCTCATTTTGTGCTGCTGTAGTCATCACACCCCTCCATCTCACAATTATGATTCATGGTCACACTCAAAGCAGAATAGTGCAATGCCTTGCCAGTTCCTTTTGCACCAGGAATGTTGAAATTATCCCTTCCCTCCTCTCAGAAGTTAATGAGATATGGGAGACTAATTAATAAATAATAAATAAACAGCAAGACCCAATTTTTATATAATAATATGCATTCTTCAAATATATGTTTCACATGAGACCCAGGTTCAAATCTCAGCATGGCTGATGTGTCAGAGAGATACCTTCTAGTTGTTATTCGTGTAAGAAGATAATCCCAGCATGTGGCGTTTTTGAAACAGTCTGTAAACCTGTTATAACGTTCATATAACCTCATAGTTTCTGGCTAGTATACAATAATAGTAAATACCATTGTTCAGTGCGGCAATGCATACAACTCAACGTTACAACTTGCAACCCACTTTGCAACAACTGTTCCTATGAGTAGACACTCTACTCATACGAATAGATGAGTCCATGCTCAACAATTTGTGTAGAGCAGGTTGTCCATCTTTCTACACAACATAACCATATCACAGATTGCCCCATGTCTTGTGAGGGAAATTTAGTAAACGAAACAGTTTGATGGTTATCAATAGTTGTGCTAACATGAAATCGCAAGTCATTGTGATCGAGGGTTTGAGTGTACTGGCCTTGTTCAAACAGCTGATTACATCAAATTACGTGCACTCTCCTAGAAACTCTAAGGTCTGCTCAGAATAGTTACAGTATAAATCCCAGGTGGGTTCTGTGGGTGTTGAACAAATATTGCATTGTGAAGAACATAAGTCAGGCAGCAGGACTCCCATTTATAAAAAGATTAAGTCATGCTATCCTTGTCGGCATTAAATAACCTTTAACGCTATGTACATTATTTACATTATTCGGACTATTGTCCTCATAATTGTTGCCATATTTATCACAATGTTTCGGCCTTTCGGTATCTTTCTATATTTCTGAGATGAGGTATTATGTACACTATTTACATTATTTGAACTATTGTCCTCGTCTTTGTTGCCATATTTATTACAATGTTCCGGCTATTGTACCATCCATTATTTGTTTCGGGCTTTCAGATGTGTTGCATGAACAGGCATCTGCAATAGGGATTGGCTAACCACCCTAGAAGACAGGTGTGCTCGAAAACGATTAGCCAGCAATTATAATTTCATCTTCATATTTCTGTTTTGATTTTTGTCTGAATTTCTGGGATTCACACAGTTTATATTTGGACTGTTGCCTTCATCTTTGTTGTTGTTATCATAACATTCCAACTTCCTAATCTGGGTAACCTACAGGAAATTCTGAATTGAACACTTTATTTAATCTATGGGAGTATACTGTTCTCATCCCACTGCTCATGTCTAGAGTTATCTTATTTTTATTTAGTATTGTTCAGTTATTATTTGCCTATTTCCACACTGCCTGATTCAGAGATTGAACTCGCAACCGCTATGTCACCAAATTCACAAACCAACGCTTTTACCCATAGGACAATTTGCTGTAGTAAACTTAGAGCCTTAAACCTAACCTGGCTTCTGATTAGGTTGCATCTGCTTCTGCTGTTGAAGACTTGCTGTCATTGGTCTTTCTTTATTAGCAGCTCCCATATTGTATTTATTTATATGCTTGGCCTACTAAGGAGGTTGTCATAGCCTAGCATATGTGCATATTCTTTCATATGTCTAACTCTCCAGTGTTCTTCCTTGTCCAGTATTTTCATTTCATTCCACAGGGGCTGATGACTACCCCTTCCTTTCCATACATGATCAGCCATGCCCACTGTGTTTTGATGTAATTTGTTTTGTAGTTGCATTTTTTTTCACCAGGTCCAGAGATGTTCGAGCTTACGTAAAAGCTGTTCTGTAATTATATCTTCTAAGTACATGACTTATATTATTGAAAGATTGCAGCATATGCTAAATTAAGTGACCTGCCTGTACAATCCATCTAGCCAATTTGTTTTTATCTTAGTGTTGGGATTCCAAAAATTTAACAACAGCACATTTTTTAAATGAAACATGAAAAATGTTATTTTCTGAAGGAAAAGAAGAGGCAGAATGTCAGTTGAAATAAAATTTATAGATTCTTTTCAAAGACATACAATGACAATAAAATGTTCAATTTTTCTTGCAGTAAGTTTGTTTTTTATAAAGTAATTAAGTGTTTTTCTATATTTCTGAGATGAGGTATTATGTACATTATTTACATTATTCGGACTATTGTCCTCATAATTGTTGCCATATTTATCACAACGTTTCGGCCTTTCAGTATCTGTCTATATTTCTGAGATGAGGTATTATGTACACTATTTACATTATTTGAACTATTGTCCTCGTCTTTGTTGCCATATTTATCACAATGTTCCGGCTATTGTACCATCCAGCCTTCTTCAGGTGGTTGGAATATCAAACTGAACCCTTTATTTCGCTCACTGGAGTAGACTGTTCTAGTTCCAAGTGCCATATCTAACGGATGTCAGTTATCAATTATCTCCCGTTAATTCACCTCTCCAAGTTCTCCACTACCTTAACCAGATATTGAACTCACAACTCTTTAGTTTCTGTCACTGGATCTAACCAACACCTTTATCAACTGCCCTATGTGTCCTTAAGTGGATTATTAACTGATAACTGACATCCATTAGAATAAGGCCAGAACATACAATGGCCAAAACGTTGTGATAAATATGGCAACAAAGATGAGGACAATAGTCTGAATAATGTAAATAGTGTAATTAAGTGTTCTTAGGACAGTGTGAGATGTGTGGACAACCTAATGTGTCTGTGAGTGTATAGACCAGGCCTTAGTCAGCAGCTACTTGGTGTCATCTCTTCTATTGTGTGCGTATGTACGTGTAGAGCAAACTGGCCTCCAAAACTGTTTTGAACCTGAAAAATTCGTCAATGAAACCTAATCTACAAACTGATTTCTTACAAAGAATGCATATTCTATTCATACAAACCCATCTTAAAAATCTTGTCGGCATTAAATAACCCATTGAGGTTGATATGCCATAAAACGAAATAAACCAAACCTTCTGATGGGATTTTATTGGTTGAAAAATAAATATAGAATTATTTCCTACACAAATATACAGACTGGATCTCATATATATATATATATATATATATATTATGTATACATGGAATCAGATTTAACGGAACTCATAAAACGTGAGAAAATCCGTTCATAGATTATAAATGAATTAAAAAACAATTTTGGTTAACTGTTCTTTGGCGGGATTGGGGGCATCAGCTCATGAAAGTATGTGTACATGCTTGTATACATATGCAATATGTTTTATTTTATTTTACTTTTGTAATTTTATCTATTCACAGAATCATGATACTTGATGCCGGAGAAATAAAAGAATTCGATTCGCCGAAGAAACTATATCAAGATGAAACCTCCATATTCTTTAGCTTGGCAAAAGTTGCAGGTGTCGTCTGCAAATCCGATACTGGAGTTTTCCAGTAGATTTTGTTTTAGAATTCACTATTATTGCATGCTTGTAAAATATATCTTTTTCAATTTCTAACACATTTCTGAAGATTCTACAAAAAAATTAAATATATTTTCAAATTAATATAGTGTCTGTTGTGTTTCTTTTATTAATGTGGTTACTTGGTACGGCTTATAAAAAAAAAATCAGATTCTATGTTATAACTTTCTCATGCTCCCTTTTTCTTACTCCTTATCTGAACTTATAAAAAGCTCACAGATTTTAATAATGACGATGATTATACAACGATTTTCTCTCTTTTCTTTCTCTTACTATCCCTACATCTACCTTTCTCCTTTTACCGTTTCTCTTTCCTTTTTTCTTCATTCTCTCATTCTGAATAAACACAAATGTCCTTGAACTGTTATCTGCAACAGGGATATGTTTAAAATTTTCTAAAATAGTGGGTGATTATAGACCTGGTTATAAATATGACACTATAAAAACACAAACAAAACTATCCTCCCCGTCCTGTTATATCTCAAATTCCCACTCCTGTTTATCAATTAAAAAGAATTATCAACCAACTTATCACACTATACATCCCCGGTAAATACAGTAATTCAAATTTAAAAATAACTAATAATGAAACCATAGCCTCACTTGACGTCGAAAATTTATTCAATAATGTCTCATATATATATATACAAGTATAGGATTGGTGTATACGGAATAAATTCCAATAACCAACAAATACTATTCTTAAAAGGATGCTCAATACAAGGTAGAGCAAATATAATGATGAATTCGAAAATTATAACATAAATATGTTATAAAGTCACTACAAAAATAGCCATTTTGTTTCAACACTTCTGGTGTCTTATCAAGTGATGGTTCTACATTCAACACCATCACTTGATAAGACACCAGAAGTGTTGAAACAAAATGGTTATTTTTGTAGTGATTTTATAACATATTTATGTTATAGTTTTCGAATAAATAATATATATATATATATATATATATATATATATATATATATATATAATATGTGTGTGAGTGTATGTGTTAATAAATACACATATACCTACGTTTGAATTGGGTAACCAACGAAATTCGAGTCGCACACCGAATATAGGTATATATGTATTTATTAACATATATCTCTTAGCTCTGTCTAATCACATTGAGCACTACACCTCTTGCAAAATTTGTTAATTATTTATTTGCTTACCAACGTATGCACGCCAGCACACGCGTATACGGTCGCTAATATCTAGTTATCTCATTTACCCAACCCTATACCTATATATATATATATATATATATATATATATATATTGTGTGTATTTAGGCAACATTTTTTTATTAATACATGTTTCATTAAATAATATAGACAAGTTTTGTCTATTTATTTTAAGTAAGTTCCTTTCATATTGTTTATGTTGGTCACACCACAAACTCGCTTTCACGGCGCTTGACTCTACATTTAACTGATAACTCTAATATTTTTAGTTATTTAAAACAACATGTCTGCCCGCGTACTCAATACTGAAAAATCCTTGTTGACAACACAACTATACTTAAACATGAAAACAATAAACAAAAATTCTTGAAGCTCTATACATAAAACAGTTCAAACCTAACCTGAACAAAATAAACTATGAAATCTCCTCAAATATCCTTAAATGCCTATAATTTATAACAGAAGCCATTGGGTTATACCAACGGCTTCCCATACTTAAGACTTATCGTTTTTCACTCTCGCATGTATGACGTCACGAGCTGCGACGAGATTTTCGCTTCCCCGTCTCGTATATACGAGTTTGTCGTTACTTTGAAATTTTTCATGCGGCAAGGGGGTACTATCATCGTTGTTTCGTCCGTGTGTTGTCTGATTTATTGAAATTGTCATCTTTGACAATGGCTTATGTAAGCCGAAAGCTTAGATTGGATTTAAACATGTATCAATATGATGTTTTCCTTTCGTCTTTCAACGATAATGTGATTAAGCTTATCAGACAATATGAAAGGAACTTACTTAAAATAAATAGACAAAACTTGTTTATATGTTTATATTATTTAATGAAACATGTATTAATATATATATATATATATATATATATATATATATATATATATATATATAATCATTGCAAATGATCGTAAGTTGACATTGGTGTTTTTGTGCCGATTTTTGGTGTGTTCTAGATTGAAATATTGTATCGATCACTTTGTTGAATGTTGACGTTTTCTTCCTAAATGAATGCCTCAAAGATAGAGGATGAAAAGTTGCACTTTTGCCATATTTCGCTCTGTGAATTTCGGAAAGGAATAAGCGTCGGAACTGCGACAAAAACACTTCAGGAGGTTTATTTGGATCGTTCTCTAGCTCTTCCAGAGGTCAAAAAGTGGTTTGGCAGATTTCAAACAGGGTGATTTTAAACTAAAATTTTCAATCACGCACCAGGCGACCTTCCGACGTTAAAGACGCTCTATTTGCCATCGTAGAGAATAAACCGAAGTTTTCAACAGAAGAGATTAGTAAGTGTTTGAAAATTAATATCTCAACTGCTTTTCGTCATTTGAAGAGACGTGGGTTCAAGAAAAACGACTCAAATTGGCAAATCGAATAAGGTGTCATTTTCCACCACGACAACGCAAAATCTCGTGTTGCCAAACTGACCTTGCAGAAGCTTAAAGAATTGAAATGGTAAACCTTCTAGCACCCATTGTATTCTCTTGACTTGACTTCTTCAGATTTTCTAGCACCCATTGTATTCTCTTGACTTGACTTCTTCAGATTTTCTAGCACCCATTGTATTCTCTTGACTTGACTTCTTCAGATTTTCATTTGTTCCGGTTTCTAAATAGCAATTTAAACAATAAAAAATGACTCTGAAAAGTTTCTACGAAAATGTCATCATCAATATTCCATACCTACCTGTCACCTCTCCGGGATAATGCATTTTTCACGCATAATCACCTCTTAACCGATCAGCATCTTAGTTTCATCAAACTAGGTTTTTCATTGGCTGAGACCTTAAAACTGTAGCAAGTTTGAGCAAAAATACCTTTTCCCGCGTACCGCTTTTGGAGCCGATATGAGACCACAAACTCAATAAATAGAAGCGTTTCGATTCAATTCGATTCAAACAGTCAGAAATTCAACCCTGGAGAGATGCTAAACAAATCCAGACTAGCCAAAACTTTGACCTAACTACACTTTTCGCGCGCTAATTCTTCTGATTCGACAAACAGCACTTCGCTCTCTCAGGAACATTAATTACAACATACTAAAGAAAGTAAATTGACCCACTACTAAACAGTATTTGTAAATCTCAATCCAACATCAAGACAACAGCTAAAGGTACACAACTCTTACAAACTTTGAACAGTAACTTTAACAAACGCACACATACACACTAGTGACTGAACTCCCACAAAAGACATTTTGTAATATGATAAAACATCTTGTTTAATTTCATACACAAATCCTGACCACAAACTTACACACATTGAAACTCAGCATAATCCTTCTACATATTTTATTACAACTGGTCACACTCGATCAGCAATATCTATCTTGATTGATATAAAATGAATGTTATTTGTTAAACCTTTAATCACGTTGTCCTTTTTTTGATTCCTCCTGAATGATTTTACCTTTCAATGTTCTTATTTTTATATTTGTTGTGGCTGAATGCCTTGTGAACACCTACATTTCTAAGACTTCTGATAACCTAACCTTCTGATACACAAAATACATTCGCCAATCTGCAACAAGCTTTCAGAACGACGGGAGATAGTTGTTAAAACAATTGGGATTATGTATTTGACTAATAAATGGGTTTTGTTTTGTTTTTGTTTTGTTTTTTGTTTTTTTGCGAGTATGTAACATTTTTTATTTTCTAATCGGGTAGGATCTTTTAAAATGATCTAATAGAAGCAACTTTTAATGCTGACTCAGCCCTTTCAAGATTTACAATACAAAACTCCGTCCAGATCTGCCGACATTTCACGCCTGACTTGTCGAACTCTCTGCTTTCGGGCAGCGAGGAACCTAGATATTAACCTTCAATGTATTTGATTCACACCGAGTGCTCTTCATTTCTGTTGCACAATGCAAAGTTGAATACGTAACTCTGATATGATTTACCCCATGTATGGATCAAATAGTAGCACATAAAGAGTCCTATAGACTTGTTATCAACTAGTCGAACACATAATTTAACTCCAGCTGACTGCGGGAATTCTTCTTCCGAGTAAATCATGAATCGAAAAGAGACATAATCGCTTAACCATGCATCACACATGACGCCGAACGAAGGAAGATGATTCGTTTTTGGATAACTTTACAACCAGGAGAATTCTGGGTGTGTTTTTAAGTCTTTCAATGCTTACCTCGCAAACTTTTTCCAATAAAAAACACGAAGTTTTTACAAAAATGTCATCAACAAGCTTGTAGAATGATGGGAGACAGTTGTTAAAAACAATGGGGATTATGTATTTGACAAATAAATGTTTTTTTTCTGTGAGTATGTAAACATTTTGTTTTTAATTTTCGAATTGAGCACGAACTTTTTTCAATAGAGCACTGTTGAATGACAAACTAATTCTACAAACAACAGCCACCTGCGTTAATGCGAAGCTCTTCAGTAAAATGAATGAAGCACTCCGGCTGTTTAACATTTGTTTACATTTGCAAAAATAATACGCTAGATCTAGCTGCCTCATTCTGTCGAATGAGGATAGCTCAGTGGTATAAACTCTGACTGACACCAAATCGGTTGGGTTTCAATCCTGGCTTAACGCATTCAGTTGTCTAGTCGCACTGAAGAGATGTGATAAAGTGAAACAGTAGTCTGCGAATGATATATATATATATATATCTCCAAGAGGATAAAATTCAGGTAGAGATCTATGTCAAAGAGAGAGTAAGAATATAATATAAAAGGCTCAAACACTAATATTTCATAGTTATAATTTATTACATTGGAATCGTAATCACGACCCAATTCATTAGACCTACAAAGCTTTTTGAATTTGTTTGATGAATTGGGTCATGATTTCGATTCCAATGTAATAAATTATGACCATGAAATATTAGTGTTTGAGCCTTATATATATAAATATATATATATATATATATATATATATATATATATATATATATTTAAAAATAAGTACATATATATATATATATATATATTTAAAGTAAGTACATATATATATATATATATATATTTAAAAAATAAATATATATATATATATATATATATATATATATATATATATATATATATATATATGTACTTACTTTAAAAATCTGGATGTCAGTTGAATCCGCTACATTGGTTTCAACCTTACGGTATCCTCAGGCGATTTTATCAAATGACCTCTTAACGCTCTTTTCTTCTTCTTCTTCTTCTTCTTCTTCTTCTTCTTCTTCTTCTTCTTCTTCACGTCGTGCGTCTGTTTATTTATTTTTTAAAACAATAATATAGATTTTATCTGTTTAAAAAAAAGATAAAGCGTTGCGCGTGCGTAACAAGCGTGTGTGAGAGAGTATAAAAGTCGCACGCCTTTTTATAAGCTTAAGAAGCGCCACCTATCGACTTTTTTTTTTTTTTGCAAAGTCAAATAGGATAACCCACAGGTATACGATACCTCTGATTAGAACTGTATTCCTTCCTCTAGACGTGGTAGCATTTTAATCACTCTGTATATCTTGAAATACTGTCAAAATCCACCATATTCAATTCTTGTTGTTTTTTTTTTTTTAACATGGATTACCTGTAATTAAGTTCATCCCCAGGAAACTCCTCCCCCGACGCAATATCTCTCTTAAGGTGTGGGGAGCTGGGGTTAATTTCTGTCGTCTGTTGCATTCTCAAAAGGAGAAACACAGTAATGTTTGAGTAACTCTTGTCCTTTCTCTCGTATACGCGTGCAATTTCCACCTTAAACCTGGTCTTATACCTGTAGGGCAGTTATAAATAATTATAAACCTCTTAACATTTATATATACAAAAACTAAAGCGGTTGTTTCACTTAATTTCCACAAGGGTGTACATTGCTTTAATGTAGGTCACGTGTGAAGAGAATTAAAAATCAGCCAATCACCGCGGCCTACACTAGCAAACAGATGACGCTGCTCTGGATGTTGTATCTTAAGAGACGAGGAAAATCAACGTCAATACTATACCATGTCTTGACTGAAGATTTACTATATAGTTGTGTTTTATTATTATTATTATTATTATTATTATTATTATTATTATTATTATTATTATTAGTCTCCTTGTATATTTGAATCCTACTTTTCACTAGAAATAAGGATAAAAAACAGTAAAGAAAAAAAACTAGTGTATAATTAAAATAATTATTCCCAGTGTTTACATTATCTTAAAAAAGCCTTATTATATGATTGTTATATGATTAGTAATTTTTTTACCCGTTAGAGGCTTTCGTACATTTTGCTGAATAGATTTATAGGGGAGTTGTAGCTGAGTAAATACTAACATTTATATACAGTAAAATACTCGTAAAAATGAGAAAGAGCAAGACGTAGAAACAACAAAATGTGTATTATTTATTATCTGGTTGTTACGTGGATTTGGAGACACGAGAGATACCAATACTGAGTAAAATTAGTGAGTTTGGGGTCAAATGTATAAGGTTATCCTAGAAGTTCTGTCCGCAATATTATATATGTAATTTCAATCAAATTTTACATTATTCTAAAATGTCAAATGTACCGATTGATAATCATATGAATTTAGAAACCTTTAACTTAATATTTCTTTTTACAATTTAATAATAATTTACTCAAATTAGCCCCTTGTAGTGGACTGGTTTGATTGCTGTTGAATTAGAAACACGTGCTATTTATTCCTTCTAGAAGAAGGTCCAACTGCAAGAAAATGGCGGACTTGAATTAAGTCCAACTGAAAATGTAAAGAAAACAAACAAGGCCAATATATATATATATATATATATATATATATATATATATATATATATATATATATATATATATATAAACAAATATATGTATTAAACAACACAATTTTAAAATAGACAGAGACATTAACATTTGTGTGTCGTTCTTTGGTGAATGTTCGTACGTACGTGTATGTGTGTATAATGTTCATGGCGTCTCCCACAAATGGGAAACGCTATCTTTTTGCGAGAGATCACATTGTAGAGGTGTTCGCTGAAATGAAGAAATGATAAAAGAGAGAGAGGCAAGAAGTCGCCTAGTATTTATAGTTTAGGGAGAGAGACCCCTAGTGAACAATTAGGGAATTAAGGAGGAGCTAACTCCGACACCCTCAAAGATGGAAGCGTTGAAGGAGCATTTACGGCACACGGGCACATAATGCTTTATGAGTTTAAAAAAGAGAACTCTGCAGCCGAAGAGACTCAAAATATTCACTCAGCTTATAGAGAAGAATTCCTAAATGAAAAAAAAACTTGCAGAAGATGGTTTACCAAATTCAGAAATGGAAATTTAGGTCTTCGGTTTCCTGTTTGGTCTTCAGCCTTGAAGCGCAAGACTGAGCAAGACGCCCAGTTTGATGATGAACTCGTTTTGGCATCACTTGAAGAAAATCCTGCAGTATCAGTTAAAGAATTGGCAATGAAGCTTCGTTCAAACCTTACAACTGTTCATCGTCATCTTCAACAACTTCGAAAGGTTCCTAAACTTGGAAAATGGGTGCTTCATGAATTGTCTGAAGTCAACCGCAAATCCAGAGCTGAAATCTGCTCTTCTATTCGTTCTCGTAAACTCATCTCACCCTTTTCGGGTAGACTTGTGACTGGTGATTAAAAATGGATTTTTTTATCAAAATATTAAACCTAGACGGTGGCTTAGTAATGGGGAAAAGGCCCAAACACAACCGAGAAGGGAGCTTCATGCGCAGAAAGCTCTTCTCTCAATTTGGTGGGATTGCAAAGGAATCATTAACTTTGAATTGCTACCAACTAATACAACAAACAAACAGTCAAAAATTAGAGCGTTTGAACGCGACTTTGAAGAAAAAAAGTCCTGTTTTAGTAAATCGAAACGGAGTGGTGTTTCATCAGGACAATTCACACTACAAAAATCACATCCCAGAAGATTGAAGAACTTGGTTGGGAAAGAATTTCTCATCAACCTTATTCTCCCGATCTTGCTCCTTCTGACTACCATTTGTTCCGTAGTTTAAAGAATTATTTGAATGGATTAACTCTCAAAAACCACGAGGAGGTCGAAACTGACATTTCAGAATTCTTCTCTTCGAAATAGAAATAGTTCTTTATTAGTGGGATTAAAAATCTTGTAAGCGAATGGAAGGAAGTCTTAGATAATCACGGAAACTTCATTGATGAATAAATTTCAATAAAATGTAAGATTTGATCACTCATTCTTTATTATTCAAAATCCAGACAGAACTTATGGGATAACCTGATAGATTAAATATGGATCGAAATCCGAGAGAATGATAAGATAAAGAATAAGTAAAGTGTATACAGTTTTTCTTGTATGTTTATTTATAGATGTGTATAATGAGTGTCCAGATAATTTACTTGGAAAAATACAAGAAGTGTCTGGGGTTTTCTTACCTTGAATTTTTGTTGAGCGCTAAAAGATAAATGTTATTATTAAAGACCTGAAAAAGGAAAAGTATATCAAATTTTCGTTGATACACGTATTAACGCCCTGTCCGTGTGAACTGCTTATCGATAGTGAGAATGTCACGTTTTTATGTATGTGTAGAGGAGAAAAGTGGGGTCTATTCTCATTGGTTTAGAAAGAATAAATTAATAATAATTATAATATGTTATAGTGATTTTATTATAATTATTTTTTACAATATAATTAATTCTAATTTGTTTTGTTTTACGGCATATCAACCTCAATGGGTCATTTAATGTCGACAACTTTTTTTTCCTGGTAATATTTTTGTTTTGTCAAAAATCTATTTCTGTTAATATTTTTTTTCTTCAAAAATACATAGCTGGTAATATTATTTATTCAAAAACGTATAGCTGGTAATATGATTTTTTCAAAAACATACAGCTGATAATATTATTTATTCAAAAACGTATAGCTGATAATATTATTTATTCAAAAACGTATAACTGGTAATATTATTTATTCAAAAACGTATTATCAGAGGCCTTGCTGTTGGACGTAGTTTATCATCTTACCCAGGACGCGGATGTAGTTTATCGTCATATCCAGGACGCGGATGTAGTTTATCGTCTTACCCGGGACACGGATGTAGTTTATCGTCATACCCAGGGCGCTAATTTTAATTTGTTTATATTTTTATAGACACAGCATGCGTGAATATGTGGTTAAATATTACCTGTAACTATATTCTTCGGAGTTACTTTACAATAATTTTGAAATTAAGCAAAAGTAATCTGTTTAACTTCAGAAAAAGTTAAATATCTGTGTGTCTGTTGGAGGAAATTGCGGTTGTTACTTCTGCTGATGTGAAGCGTCGGTTATTCAAAGAAAATTTGGCGTTTCTTGCATTTTGGCGAATGGCTCTGTCTGTCGTAATCATATTGTCGGGTGTCATTCAGTTTGTCATGACCAATTTAGGATCAGTCAATAAAAAGCCGTGCCAAAATAACTGATAAACAGTCTGTAACGAGCCAGGGACATAGTGCCTGGGGACGCATGAAAATCACTCAGGCCTGAGAAAGAAAGATCGAGTGAGAAACAAAGAAAGAAGAAAAATATTGAGAAAGAAAAAAAAAATAACATAGGCATTTAAGTTTTATACGTTAAGCGGTCGCTTCAAATCATCTTCCTTCTCAAATTTTGTCGCCCTAACGAAGGATCGAACCTACGCGTTTAAGAATATTTCAACGATATTTATACCTTTTACAAACGTTTACAGATTTCTTTATTCCTTTATTTTCTCTGGAGTATTTTTTCAATGATTACCGCATTAATGTTTATGCGACAAGAAAAAATAATTAACAAAAAGGAATAAAACTTAAAGACGGACTTTACCCGGGAATCTATTTTTCGACTTAAAAAGGACAATTGGAAGACGTTGATTGGTCGACATATTTTCTTTTCGTTTCCTCATAAAAAAAAGAAAAGAAAAAAAAGAAAGAGTTCTTCGCTAACTACGAAATCCTACAATGAGATTATTTCTTTGGGATTAATTTAGTGGTTCCTTTGAATAAATGCTCAAACCATTTCCCAGAACTGTAAGTATTGTTAATTATTGAGAGTTTTCTCCAAGGTGTAATCCAAGACGTGTCTTTGAATTGTTCGTACAAGCGTTAATTTATTCTTGGTTAATATACCATTTTAAAATAAAGCTTACTGAAATATTATAAACACTTTATAAATTTCTAGACCTTTGTTATGCACGTAGGACTTTTATTCTTTCAATTCGTTATTTTAATACTTGTTAAGAAGCATTTTGTTTTTTGGTTTTGTTTTTGTGATT